CCTCCCGAAACTATTCCGCCCCTTCTCCTGTCCACCATAACTACACCACCGCTCTTAATAAATAAAAAAACCCACTCTTGACCTAAACCGCTGTCCATCGTATGCACAATTTTAGAATTGTTGTAAAGTCCCTGAAGGCGCTGTATGCATTCGTAAAAGGTAACGTAATCAGATGTGCGGACACACCGCGGTTAGGGGAGCTTACCCCGATCTTCGTAAACTTCTCACCCCAGTCTGGGATCGAACCGAGACGCCAGCGTTCTGAGCCAGGTCCGTTCCCGTGTGGTGTGACGCTGGCCACCTATGTAGAGACAACTCACCTGTGTTGAGACAGCTCACCTGTGTTGAGACAGCTCACCTGTGTTGAGACGGTGCTCACCTGTGTTGAGACAGCTCACCTGTGTTGAGACAGTGCTCACCTGTGTAGAGATAGCTCACCTGTGTTGAGACGGTGCTCACCTGTGTTGAGACGGTGCTCACCTGTGTTGAGACGGTGCTCACCTGTGTTGAGACAGCTTACCTGTGTTGAGACAGCTCACCTGTGTTGAGACGGTGCTCACCTGTGTAGAGACAGCTCACCTGTGTTGAGACGGTGCTCACCTGTGTTGAGACGGAGCTCACCTGTGTTGAGACAGCTCACCTGTGTTGAGACAGCTCACCTGTGTTGAGACGGTGCTCACCTGTGTTGAGACGGTGCTCACCTGTGTTGAGACCAAGCTCACCTGTGTTGAGACGGTGCTCACCTGTGTTGAGACGGAGCTCACCTGTGTTGAGACGGTGCTCACCTGTGTTGAGACGGAGCTTACCTGTGTTGAGACGGAGCTCACCTGTGTTGAGACGGAGCTCACCTGTGTTGAGACGGAGCTCACCTGTGTTGAGACGGAGCTCACCTGTGTTGAGACGGAGCTCACCTGTGTTGAGACGGAGCTCACCTGACTTGGCTAGTTGTGTGGGTTCCGTCTAATCTGTACGTGGCACGGTCACGTGTGTGTGTGGGTATCACAAACGCACCCACGTGTGTGTACATATGCAAGACAGCTTTTATTGCACACACACACGCGCGCACAAAACAAAGATAAAGACAAAGATCACCCGTAACAGCCTGTTCAGGCTGTTGGGGGAAGTGCTGTTAAAGAAGTGCCTATGCAGGTCGACACGATACACGAGGGGGTGTGTGGCCAGGACCACACCCGGCCGCCTTTGTCTCCCATTTGCTATACAGCCAGATAAGACGACAAATCGCTAACCTTAAACACCCAGTCGTTCATAAAAGTTGAAGTCGGTATAGTACTATAGTAATAGAGCAAGTGCAGAGTCACTGAACCGGAATTGATAGCTTGAAAGCATTTAGCGTGGGGCTCTTCAACATTCGGGGCCCGTAGCATAATTATGTAATTACTTTTGCTCCTAGGTTAATCCGGCACTGGATGGGGGGGGGGAATGAATCAACGTACATTACGCATGCGCACTCCGCATATCCAGTCAATTCAAAGCGGCGAGCGAAGGATGCGCGTGGCCACGAGAGGGCGGTGCGTCCGTGCCAGCGACTTGTGGCACGCCAGCTCCTGCTCGGTGGGGGTAAGGATGTCTCAGCTCACGCACTGGAGGGACTGGGTGCAGACGCTCCTGAGGTCCTGCTCAACGGCAACACAGATGGAGTGAGTGATGTGACACTCGCCCGAATCCATAATATCGTTTTTTTGGGGGGTTAGAGGGCGTACAAATATAAATGTGTCGTTAAACCCGCCACCACCCGACACAGGCAATTAGTAAGGTTTGTCACGTAAACAGAACGTGCCAATTCGTTACTAGTACAGCAACACCGGTGTATTGGTGAGCAATCCACAACATTTACAATTTGAGTACGACGTTACGACACATTTATATATTTACGCTATCTAACCCAAAACAACCCTGTATTAGGGATGATATTGGTCGCTAAAGCCTACGTGTTAAATTGACTCACTCGACTCCCAACAGCCACCATTCACTGGACAATCACACTCACCGCTCAGTTTGTTTTTTCAGTTTCAGTTTCATTTATGTGGTATAGTCCTGTGAGCCATTCGGCTCTTCAATCGGGTGCAACCGCAATAAACAAAAAAACAAAAACATGAACAAGAAAACATCTTAAAGTGACTATGTGACTGTGCAAACAGAACATCCAGGAAAAAAACAGCAAAATATTCCTGAAAAAGCACCATACACCAACGTTGTGTGCAAAAATCCCAGTGGGATGCAAGTCAAACAAAACAACCACAAGACAACTTAGATTAAGGCCATCAGTCTAACTCCGTACTGCAACAAACATGGCCAAACCAAAAAACGTTTTCGACATCACACTCCACACTAACTAATAAGCTGACACGAGACATTCACCACTCACCAAACACACTCGCCACTCGCGCCGACACTCACCTGACAATCGCCTCTTATACTCACCCAGTCACCACTCACCGATGACATTACGCTGCTTCGCCGTCACTATACTAGGTGTAATTACCACCCTTATCCAGCAGGCGGCGCACCAACAAACAACCATGGAAATTTCGATTTAAAGCTTTCGTGACTGCAATGATTCATCTTCTTTGGTTCTTTCGGTAAAGTCACGTAGAATGAGAATAAAATAATAAATTGCTAAAATAAAATAACACAATAATATTCTCACGACGTTTCGGCCACAACACAAGCGGCCTTCATCAGGTGAAGGGACGAGACTGTCTGGTAGGACAGCGCTGTGGCCGAAACGTCGTGAAAATATTATTGTTATTATATTTTATCAATTTATTATTTTATTCTCATTCTACGTGACTTTACCGAAAGAACCAAAGAAGATGAACCATGGAAATGATGAGTATGATGAGTATACCAAGGTTCCCAAACGTCACGGTTTAAGAAAGGCCGTCCCACTCTCATTGAGTCCGGCTGTATAATTTTCTGGCTTCATGCACGAATACAGGCAAAGTTGTAGATGTTCGGGGCTGAGCTCTGGAAAATATTTCTCCTGCCCCCAAAGTCTAGGGAGATGTGGGGTTTGGCGGCTCCAGACTATATTACAATTATATATGAAGCCCAGGTGGGCGACCTGAGTAGTGGGCAGGGTTGATGAGTAGGTGGGTAGGGCTAGTAATTGAGTGTGCGTAGGCTATGTAAATGGAGGTGGAGCTCAGAGAGGGCAGGGGGCTGCCAAACTTATTGCGAGTCCCGGTTGAGCCTCCCAGAAATTCAGTAACCTGATTGTGTACAGAACTGCTTGACATTATAGAGTGGATTCTGATTTATCGTACAAGTCGAAAGTCATTATTTTAGTGGCTTAGAATGAAAACTTGTACGCATTGCCACATATTCAAACGCGCACACATGATTACAATTTTTCCTCCGGCTGAACAATCACTTCCCCTGTTATCGCATCCCTCCTTCTCCCAGTGTCACCATCCAAGAGAAAGCGCCATGAAATTGTGCCATTTAATATTTTATTGACTTTTGAAAGCGACGTCAACAGTGCATACAGAAATAACATTAATAAAAAATAATTTTGGTGTGAAGCATGTAAAGTACTCAATACTTTACCGATTCATGCAAGCGGAGGTCACATAAATAATTTTTTTCTTAAAAATCAGACAATCTTTGACGCTTCCTACAGGCTATGGGGGCCAAGGGTTAAACGATTTGAAAAATACCACCGAAACATTTCATTTTGCATAAAATAGCTGAAATTCTAATAAACAAAAAATAAAGGTTGCACATTTGGTTCCTTCCTTTAAGAGTACAAAACAACGAGAACACGGCCATAACCAAAAAGCAATAACACCCCGCACGCTTCACCTACAGCAGTAATTAAAAGCATATTTGCCCGAAGAGTGTGTCCCCAAAAACGTCGACTCAAAACACGCTACCACAAGCAATGCGAAGGACCCGGTGGAAGCGTCATCCACTCGACAGCACAGAGATTGCGCTAAGCAACACAACACGACCAAGGGCAGCGATCGCTTAGGTTCGTTTCGCGCGTTCATCCTTTTTAACCGAAAATCCCTCGACGTGACCAACACCTAAACTGCTTGAAACGTGGCGAGAGACGATGGCCATCCCTCGCCGAGGTCTTATCGTTCCACATGTCATTTATTTTGTATATTTGGACGTACGCTGTACAATGGCCAATGTTTGGGCGATTGATTTGGGCAGGTAGCGTACTAGTCTATACATCTGGAGACTGAGCACAGCTCTTGGCGGGACAAATCAGCTGAAAAAACCTCATTGCCCCGAATGATGAGGTCTTTCATAACTGTGGGTGATGAGTATTGGACTTCTAAGAAGTCACCTTGAATGCGCCCCATATCGTTGGAACTTGGAAGCCAATGAGGGTCAGGACTGGAAAGGTGACCCACCGGTGTTGTCTGCATGGAGCTGCGATGGCTGCGAGGTGCCAACAGACGCAGGACAAGAACGGCTTCGGTCCGCAGATCGACTTTGGCCAACCCACTGGATTGAGTCCATCTGCAGGGAGCTCTTGAGTGATAGCCCCTCGTAAGCTTGGTGGGTTTTCGCTGGGTTCTCCGGTTACCTCTTGCATGAAGCCAAACACTCGTGGACTTGTCTAAATAGTGCAGGACCCCCCCCCCCCCACCCCCCCAACACATTATACGTAAACTCTTTGAGGCTTACATGGGTAAATCATTGGCATTATTATTAGTGTTCAACAATAACAATATCGTGGGACTCCCATCGTCGTGGGAATTCAAACCAATGATTACAGATGTCACAATGCAGTGCTTAAAAAAAAGTCTTAATTCATCAGTCACAGCACTGCTGTTAAGTCAGTGTCTATATTTAACCTGCACATATATTCCTTTTAATGCCTTTAATATATACGCTACATTTCAGTAGCGCTTTCCTATTCCCCTGGCACTTTATTAAGCTTACATAGCCTTTTAAAAGCTGTTAAAAGTAATTCCCTTGACTTATACCGCGGCGTAGGTGTTAGCAGTTGTGCTGTATGGCTCTCCTATGCGTTTTCCGGTAGGTCCGTATGTACCAGTCGTTCAACTCCACCGTACTGTGTGCTGCTTCTTGAGAAACTGAACGATGTCCGACCTTTCCAATACCGTTACCTAAAGAAGCTTCCAACATGTGGAGCGAAGCGTCAGACATCAATGCGAACAATGCGTGATACAACCGCAGAATGAGAAGTTGACTTCAACGAATCATTTATTCGCTCCAAGAACTATGTCACTGCAGTTCAAATGGCTGTGCCAGAACTACGCCTTTGGGACGGGGGTGGCCTGCGACTCCCAGCAATGTGATTGCACGAAACGTACAGAGGGACAATTCCATTGTGAATGTCAGCCAAATGCAAACGCCCATCGGCAAGCCTCTTCCACTGGACCATTCCCTGTGAGCATATTAGAGGTCACAACTTGAATGGTTTTAGCCATCTTGTAGTAAATGAACAGAAAATAAGATTGTCAGGTATAAACAAAAATATATAAGTGAAATTACATTTTTTAAATACAAATATAGGGAATTTACTAAGAAATTAACACTATTTTTCAAAAAAATGAAATGGTGCTGAGTATGGCTTGCATTCTGGGTCAGAATGTGTAAACGATTGTTGGATCGCTTTCCGATAAAAAATCAAGTGCTTCGCGATGGAGAATTTCAGTTAATTTCGTGTCGTTGCCACTCAGACCCATGCAGAATAAACAGGGCATCCCAAACTATTTAATTTCAAATCGCTCGACGCTGGGTTTTTTTTCCTCCCCTAAAAATAAATACATGTCCTTTGATGTTGATGATTTTTGTTTATATATACACATATAATTGCACATTACGGTTTATTACAGGACATTAAGCAGTAGTTTCTGCATATGTGTACACATTTCACTGCACTTGTGTTACGAATAAATCTTCAGGGACGTACATTTGTTTATCGTGGGCAATGCAGGTACATTAACATCCACAGGACACTGAGCAGTAACGGACTGCAAAGGGTGGTGGACAGGCACATTTAAGTCACGAGGCAACACTCAGAAGTGTCAATTGGAAGAATATAGGAGATGAACTGAAAATAATAACCGTTCCCGAAACGTCTTGCTGTCATATTAAGACCGCGATTGAACTGCTATCATGCGGACCACACGCATACGCGACATTGACTCATTATGAGATGCTGCTTCAAACGTTTCAACGATAATCCATTTTACTCAAAGCTCACGGATTTTTTTTGTTTAAATTGAGAAGTCACATTTCCCCTCCCCCCCGCCCCCTGACACCTACACACGGCAGTAATCCACGCCTCACCTTTGACGTTATGAATGTACGATGCGCACGCGCGCGAACACATTAAACACCAACATTGCCCAAATTAAAATTACGCGCGACTCTCTCTCTCTTTTTTTTTCTTTCCCTTTTACCGACAAATAAAAAGGTGCCGCGATATAAGAAAGAAAATTACGCTTCCATCGCACGCGAACGTCTGTTGATGTGCTACCCCTCGGCGTGTGCGCCGCTCGTCGCCGGGGCAAGACCCCCGGACGGTGATGACCTCGCGATGCAATCAACGGCGCTGCCACGCTTTGCACTCCCAGGGGCTCGTTTGGCAGGCTTCGGACTGGCATCACCTTGACGCCGACGCGAAACCCACGCCGCTCCTCCTCCCGAGAGGGGGCCCAAACGAATTCAATTTAATCACAAATCGAGAGCAGCGCGTCACATTTTCAACGTCTATTGCGGTTATGAGCAAACTAAGCAAGATAATACTTTCAAGCTGGTTAAACATAGTTTTAATTATTATTTTTAAAATCTAATGATGAAATGGCATTGTTTGGAGATGTCCTCATGTGTGCCTAACATGACGTTTTTTACAGTGTCTGGGAAAAGTATGGTTTATGAAACAAACTTTTGAATAGGGACGAAACTCTGCATTGATTAATTGCTTTATATCTTTTCTTAAGCTCACGATGCACGGTTGTGTAATCGTGTGCAATGTTGTTTCGCTTTGTGTGACGTTCCATCTTAGGGATTTAATCTTCGCAGCCACAAGAGCTGCTGCCATTCGCTGAAATATTAAAAATATATATTATCGAGTCAAATATTCATTCAGTTGTCATGGAGAGGATGAATCATTCCACCTAGAGTTTTAACCCGTGCCATTCAATGTAAGCTGCCAGCTCAGGTGAATCTCACACGTACACATTTTGGCCCAAATTGATGTAGAATTGTCATTCCTTGCACTGTGAAAAACCGAATGGATTTTCTAACTCCACTCTCGATTGATATCACTCACAAATTCGTTTTTTTACCCTTACAGCTCAACCTACTATACCAGCTCAACATCATTTATGTATTAAAAATGTCAGTGGTAACCTTTCAATTACCACCAACATGGATAATCTGCATCACTCGAATTGCAGCCTGCCATCACACCCGGAGTTCCAAGGCTGAACACAAAGCGTAGCACCCAGGAAAGGAGGTTCCCTCGGAAACACGGCAATCTTGGACACGCGTTGGAATTAGATCCCATTGTTTTCAATTCCAATTTATTCAAATGCCAAATCAGGAAATTAACTTCATGTAGGAACTGAGCAACGGTGCCTCTGCACAGTGATAGTAGCCGCAACATTAGGCTGAATGCATACAAAGTAGATCTGTACGCAGAGGTTTTGGTCGCTGGCCTGTGTTAAATGTTTGACTTATTCTTCTCAAGTGTCACATGGGTTCCCAATGATAGTATTTTTATGGCTTGGTATATCCACTTTTGATGACCGTGGATATATTCCCCCCCAAAAAGTAATGTTTTTTTACATTTGAAAGGAATTGTTTTTTAATATTAAATATTGATTGCCATTGAGAATGTGTAATTGTTTTATTAAAAACTGCCCAAGGTAGAAAAATCAATAAGGCCAGTCAGTAAAATAATGGCCTTCAGCCAAACATTTCTTTCCAAGTCTTGCTTGATAAATTGTTACTTAAATTAATAATAAAATGCTTAACTTACCAATGTTTTCAAAGACTATCGTATGTTAACAGCACAACAATGGCCCGCCGAACCTTACTAATACATTGGAGAAAAAATCATCCATGAGTAACGAAGTGAGAGCGAGTATTATACATTTTATATCTTACTTACAAAGATGCGTCGACTGCAAAGTATAACATAAGCTATTTGCGTAGGTATTCAAAAGCAAATGCATACATCTTCAGCATATGGAATCACCTATTCGTACCATGCCTTTAAAGTAACATAATGGTATTACATTTGGAAAAGAAAACAGGCGAGCTATATTACATCAATGGGATAAAGATATGGTACACATATACGAGCCTTGAAATACACTCTTGGTTGCATTTGATTGCAACCTTTATGCACCCAAGAAAAAGAAGTGGAAATAAAGCATTCAATGTGGGTTTCCTATCATGAATTTTCTTAAAGCTTTAGCTACATTTACACTTGGGGTTTTAAAATTATTTTTTCTCACTTAGTTTGTTTCCACCTTTTTTTTTTGGTTCCTTTGCAACTCACTGTGGATATCACCGTCTCTAATCAAATTGGCCATGTATACATTCAGTGCTCGAGGCATACAATCAATCATGGGTTTTTTTTGTCGTTGTTGTGGCCAGAGCTGGGAGAACGCTGGCCCCAACAGATGTATCAAAATACAGAAAGCAGATAACAATGCGATAGGATGGAGATGACAGAGTGAACTCAAAAGACCCTGGCCACGTTGAGCAGTGACGTCACGTGGCTTTTTTCTGCACGAGCTCAGATTTTAACCCCTGCGAAGCTGTGCTTTATAACAACAATAACAATCCTTCAAGGATAACGGCAATGATAAATCAAAGCACTTATCATTTGGGCATTGCTCTGCTCCGAGACAAAACACGTTCTATCCCCGCTGTTTGTTTGGATATGGCAAGGCGGTCATTTGGTGCCTCAGTAGTCAGCACCGCTGACAACCGAGTCCAGTTTCAGTCACTCGTGGTTTGACAACTATTATTGTCAACAATGATTATCCTGTGCGAAGCTGGCCCCTGCCATAGGAATACCGAGTGGTCGTCACTTGCAAAACGCCACCCAGTTTATAATTTCAATAAGGCGACATACATTTTTTTTTCACAAATTGAAAAAAAATGAACTTGCGGTGGCTGACCTGTTAGTGACCTTCATTCCAGAAAAAAAAGCCTCGACTGTTTATTCTTCAGAGGAAACAGAATGCAGAACAGCCACCAAATGTAAGCGATAACATGAGCCAAATAATTACTTTAGAAACCAGATTCCAGATCTGGAGAGTTTAATGCAATTCGTTTACTCACCACGCCCAGTCAGCGGAGGTCCGTTGCGCCAAACGTCTGACCTCCTGCGACAGCGAGAGGTCAAATGCAACACCTTTACCATGTTACTTCGGCTACCTTTTCAAGTAACATTATCTGAGTAGAAAAGTAATGCTATTTTTTGCATAAATTAAAATAAAATTGTAATTTCAATTTCAGCAGTTCTCCATTCTAATTTAATTTACATCAGTTTGTACACACGAAATATATTTTCCTCAATTGCAAAATTTAGACCCAGACAATATCAAAGACTCAATTCATGAGTAGCACCAACAACTGTGCAAAATAACCCATATCGCGGCCAAAATGCAACGAAACAATTCGTCGTAAAATGCAATGTGCACCAAGAATTAACTAGTGAATGCTATTTCAAATTCCAAACGTACTAAGCAACTTTAAAACACTCAAGTACAGTTGGTATTTTTTTTTTATATTCACTGCCGGCATTCTACAACTGTCATGTGCTTACCCGACAATAAACCGTGAGACGGATTTCATCACTGTCATCAACAGCCATGCTGTCCCATCCTCCATGGTTCTGCAATACCTCAATCCATCTCGCTCCTGCACGTGAAACGTTCTCATCGTTCCCTCTCTGCAGTCGTCACACTTTCAGACCCTTTCTCTCCATTGGCTCCCAGTCCATCACCAGTCTCATCTATCAATCAAGATCCCTTCAAGGGATGTGTCCTGTCCAAGCCCACTTATTGTGCTTAACAGGCAACGTGATTGTTTCCTGATCATACATTTCCTCATGCTGTCTCTCATGCTTTGAATGACAAGAGACACCGAGAGATAGAAGGATTTGGTGTGGTATAAACACTAAAGTAACCTTATAAATCTGCTACTTTTGAAAAGGAATTCTTGGTAATTTGTAATATGCATGTGGAATTTTTTTTGTTTCACCACAACTTAAATGAGCAAAAAAATATCTTAAAATTTTAAAATAAGGCCCCAAAATCAGAAATACCGCAGAATAAAAGACCCACAATGTTAGTGCCCCCCAAATTGTAAGCCTCCAGCTTAGCTCTTCCTCTCCAAGTAGTTGGAGGGCACCCACCCCTCCCGTTCCTCGTCTCCTTCCAGCACCTTGCAGTACCACCATCCGTTCGGATTTCGCTCGATCACTTCCAGCGACGACCCCTCCAGCAGTCCCATCGTCTCCTCGTCGCCCGCGTAATCGGCAATCGCCACGAACACCTCCTCGGGCCTGCCGACCGGCCTCGAGATCGAGATGGCTATGGCACGAGCCGCGGGCCTTTTTCCCCCGGCCGCCCCAGCCTCGGACTTGGCGCGGCCCCACGACGGCCTGGCAGCTCCCCCTCCGGCCGCCGCGGCCGCTGCCGCCGCGGCCGCCGCGACTACGGCTGCCGCGTTCGACGTCGCGAGCTGCTCCGCTTTGCCGGCGCTGCCCCAAGGCTTGGGCCCGTTGAAGGAGACGTTGCGTCGCACCTGCACGGATGGGCGCGACGTCGAGCCCGCCTGAAACGATTCATTCCGTTTCACCGCCGCCGCCGCCGCCGCCGCCATCGCCTGCCGGCCGCCGCCCTCGCGCCCGTTGGCGCTCCTCTTGGCGTCGCCGCGTCCCTGCTGCTGCTGCTGCTGCTGCTGCGAGGCGGCGCTGCCCAAGTGTCCCGATTGCAGGGAGCCATTGGAGAGTTTCACCGGAGTCGCCTGAGGCTGCACCGACGCGTTCACGGCGGCCATCGGCTTCCCCGTGCCCACTGAAGGCCTCTTCGGTGGGGGCGGCCGTTTTGGCGGGATGCCGTTATTTGCCAGCTTTGCCCTTCGATCGCCATCACCGCTCGCGGCCATTCCTCGCGCCGCGCCCTCGAAGAGCGTGTCCCCTTCCCTCTGCTCAACTGGCTCCAGGTACGTAGACGGAACCCATCCGTCCTCGCCGCGGAGCCGCACGAACCACCAGCCTTCGTCCCGCTTCTCAATCACTTCCGCCTCCTCGCCGATCTCAAAGCCAACCTGAGACCTCTGGACGCTCTCAAATCTGGCGATGGTCCTGTACACCTCCCCGGCGCCCGCGCCCAGCTCCGACTTCGTCAAGATCTCCGACCCAGTGTGGTTCGACGGCTTGGGGCCGCCGCCGCCGCAAGCGTCCGCCCTGCGCAGTTCCGGCCCACCGTGCCTCCTGGAGCCCGCCGCCGCTGTCGCCGCTCCGTTCGGCAACTGCGCTTCATCCGAGGCCACCCTCCGCACGCCCCTGTGGCAGTCTGACGTGGCCGCCGACCGGCTCCCGTTCGACGGCCTATCCTCCCTCCTTTCGGGAGGGACGTCCGTGCCATCGGATGAGGTCTGGTGCACGGGCTTGAGCCTATTTCGAAGGCCCAACATTTCCACCTTGCCCGGGAAGCCCTTCGAAGGCGACGGCGTCGCGGGCTTTGGCCGGACCGCCGGCTTCGCTGGGCTGCTCACATCCCTCCTCTCGTTGTCGCTCGACGACTCCTCCAACGAATCCGCTCGGCAAACCGACGGCAGCCCCGGAGCGGCGTCGAGAACACCCCCGGAGATCTCCTCCGAGGAGTCGTCTTTCCCCAGCCTCGGCCTCGCGGTCACCTTTTGCGCTTTCGGCGACGCCACTACCGCCGCCGCCGCCGCGGATAACTTGGGGAGCACGACCAGCGGGGACTTCGGCGTGCCGTGGCAAGACGAAGGGACGACGGAGGGGCTCACGGTCACCGCGGCGGCTTTCGGATCGTCCCGCGACCCCGACGCCGACGTCAGGAAGCTCGGCCGCTTCGTCAGCGAGCCGGGGCCGGTGGAAACCGCGGAGGCGTACTTGGAGCCGAGAGGCGAGTTCTGCGACGCGTCTCCCGGCCGCGCCCACGACGACTTGACGGGCGAGGGCTGGGCGCCGGGCGGGGCACGGTCGCCTTTGGCGCGCACCGCGCGGTACTGGCCCGGCGAGCCGCGCGGCGACAGCTCCACGTTCTCATAGTGGGCGCTCGCCTCCTCGACGGCGGGAACGTCGTAGATGTGCGAGTCGCTGTCGTTGCTCTCGGACGACGCGCCGCCCACGCTGCTCGACGCCCCCGAGCGGCCGTCCACCTCCGAGTTCCGACGCTCGTCGGAGCCGGAGGAGCCGCGCGACTGCGCGGGCGGCGCCGGGGGCGGCACCTTGGGCCTCGCGATGTTGCTGTTGCGCCGCACGAGGTTCGTCTTCTTCCGCTTCTCCACGAAGGACGCCGGCGCCCAGCCCTCGTCGCGCCCGATCTGCACGTACCACCAGCCGCTCGGGCACTTCTCGATCACCTGCCACCAGGGGAGCGGGCAACCCGCACTTAGGTCAGACGGACGACGCGCAGTGACGGGCCCCGCAAGATCCGGTGCTCGCCGAGCCGCGTTGGCTTCCCGGTGCCAAATTAATAGGTTATGAGGTCGCGCGCTCATTGCACACAAGGTGCTTGTCACAAATGAAACGCAATACGTCGCTGAGCTCGCCAAGGGGCATGAAGCGTCACGCAAACTCCGGTCATCCTCACAGCAGCTTTTGGCTAACCATCGAACAAAGACGGTCACTGCATCACGACCTTTCAGATGCTCTTCCACGACAAATAATGGGCCTATTTTGTGGCCTCCCGTCAGTGAGCCTAAGACTTGGCGTGGCCTCAAAGTGTACCTAGCCTGGCACCAGTGCTGCGGTGAGGTCACAAGATACGTGCCCATTATTTCAACAATCGAACTGGCGACCTTTTTATTACAAGTCCAGTGTGCTAACCATTACACCACGGGAGAATCTATGAATAGCAATGTACATGTCTTTCCTTATCGTATATATTTTGTTTTTATTATATGCATGCGAGTCGGTGATACCCGTATTTATGACAGTAGTCAATGGACATTTATGCAGTTGTTATGTTTACGCAGTTGTAAATTTAAATACATAAAATCAGAATAGGAAAAGAAAATCCACTTGTATAAATATACTTTCGTTTAAAAGTTGGGCTACCAAATAGTTTTTTTTATGCAGCATAACAAATCATTCTCAAAGTATCCACTGAATGATAGGAACATGTCACTGAATGCATCCATCGCAGGATTAACACAGGAGCCCTTGTTCACTAATTGGTGAGCGTTGACGTTTTTAGTCCCTCAGCTGAGGGTCATGGGAATCGGCTGTTCCGTGCCACGTGGGCTGGGCTGGGCTGGAAAGGAAGGCCCGACAGGAATGGGAAGAATGGGTTGGGTGGACTCTCAGCCACGACACTTCCCTCCATTCTCGCACGAGTTGGCCCAAGGTCAGGACGGCGCAATTTCAAGTGGCACGGCAAAACAAGGACGTACGTGTGTGCGCCAAGCCTCTCTCCGTGACCGTTATGTCAGCAGCGAGTGTCATCAACTTGGCCTGCGGAGGACCTCGAAGGGTGCACTGTGCAAATTCCCCGGTCGTGGCAAGAAAACATCGAGGGCGTGGCTTTGTTTTTTTTGCTGCGCAGACTCCAAACAAGCGCGGTGGTCTGTTTTCAGCGGGCAGGAAATACGTCCTGAATTAATCTGATGAACCGAGTAGTGGCTCAGATAAAGTGGGAGCAATAACAAAACACTCCCTTGCTCTTTGTAACTTCGATGTAAGCAAATGATAATGGGCATCTTCTCATTCCAAACAAAAAACCCCATCACGAAGCGGAGTAGTGTTTTGGACTGATATAATTGGTCAAATTTCCTTTGTTTATACAATCGTCCTGTTGTTTATGTCGGAAGCCACTAAAGTGTGGTGCGTGATATAAATCTGACTTTAAATACCATGTGCTGACGTTGACGAGAATAAGATATTGCATATTGGCTTCAGATTAAATTTTCATATCTAAAAGTCGAGAGATAAACCGAAAATGCCGTCATTAATTTGTACGGAAGCAATTACAGCCACCAAATTGTTCCCGGTGAACAAGAAACGTCGAACGGAAATGCACCGATATGCCTTAGTGCAACATACCAGGTTAATCATGCGCATTACGTTGTTGCCGATCCGCTGCTGGATTAAAGGCCCTCCCCCCACAGCATATCGCTTGCCAGGGTCGTTAAACCAAAGGTCACCATACCGGTCAGTGTGTGAGCTGGTGAGCCCACGGTGTGACTGCGGTCGCCAACCTCAAACCACGGGCCTACGCACTGCACACTTCGATCGTTCACCGGCAGCATTTGAGATATCCACCATGAGACTACCCCCCCCTTCCCCAAAGCCATCGACTGGCTCGCTCACCAACGTGAATACGTCAACGTTGCTGATCAACTGCCCGTTCGACGAAAGAAGAAGTGAGAGTCGGTTCTTTCGCCACTGATCAATTCAGTTGCGCTAACCACTGCGCCACCACTCCACCCTTGGTTGTTGTTCGTTTTGACGTCAAGGGCGAACAAAAACCGAAACGTGTGCAAAGAAAGCGTGGCGATGTGCATGCTTGGAATTCCACTGAGAGACAGAAAGAGGAACATGTTAATGAGAAAACTAGTTAATAGCATAAAAAAATTCTGAAGAATACGAAACTGTTAATAAAAGTAAGTGGGCCTGGGCGGGGGACATCGCAAGGAAGAATGATGGCCAACGGTCAAGAATAATAATGGAGTGGCAGCCAAGGAATGGAACGCGTCCCAGAGCACATCCACCCAGGAGACGGAGCGATTGTAACCGCCCGAGTGCAGGTGTTGGGTGCATTGTTACATCGCAGGATCGTGGCAGATGACGGCGTCTTGGGGAGGACTTTTGTCCAGCAGTGGACTGACCAAGGCCGATGATGGTGGCGGTGGTGGTGGTGACGATGGGCGGCCCTCACCTCGACGCGCTGCCCGGCACGGAAACTGATGCCGTCGGCAATGGTCGTCTGGAATTCGGCGATGGTGTAATACTCCATTTCCACCGGGGGGGGTGCCGGAGGCTTGGGCAGCTGCAGCCCCCTGGCCTGCAAGTACGGTCACACGAGGGAATGTAAAAAAAAATCCCACACACACACAGACGAAACACCCCCCCCCCCCCCCCACATAGCCTGCAGCAGACTGCAAGGGGCAAGTGCTCTGAGCTAAACACTTATGAAGGCCGGAACGCCTCGCGAGGGGCGGGGGTGCTGTTGTGGCCATGACCACGCTTGGTCGCCTTTGTCTTCCCAGTGCTGATGTTTTCGCAATGCACCGGGTACTTATTTAGGGCTGAGTAGCCCTTGGGGGAGTTCTGATTTTTGCCACTTAAGCCAGTCATTTCCGGGAATGGAACTCAGCTCACCAGGTTTTGTAGGGCAGTGGCGCTCCCTACCACGCCACCCTCCCCCACACATACAAACACAAAGATCCCCCGTATAGTCTCAAACAGACGGCTGCAGCAAGTGCTGTTAGCGAGAACCTATTAAGGCCCCAAATCATATGTAAATACACACACTGGACACATACTTATACATACACAGGCACCATAGCAACACAGCGGTGCTTTTGGCACACGTGCGCACATCACGCACACGCCAGCACTGATGGAAGGCGAACCATAATTTAACCATGCATGGTTACAGACTGTTGAGGCAAACGGTGCTGTTGGCGAGTGCCTATTAAGGTCAGAATGGCGCAAAAGAGAGTGGCAAGTGTACGAGTTCGGTGCCATACCCGACCGGGTGACCTGTGTGCAGTTATTTCGGCATGCAATGATTCATCACCACTGCGCACCCATGTGATTCAATGGATTGTTATGATTCAGGTTTGCGATTTGTATTCAATAATCGATTGTTTTGTCTAATTTTAGTTTTTCCATTATGATTGCACTGCTTTCCGTGAAGTTCTGTGTGGTCCATCGGGCTAAATGTAATATTATTTGAATACATCACGATCAACTCTGAAACACATGATGTGACCCAGGCGTCACGCGCAAAAGAGTCGATGTTGATTGCTGATTCGATGCTTCGTTACGTAGCTAATGGGCACTCATATTAGGCGGAGCTGACTTAGAGGAGCACCTAGGGTAGGAGCAGACTCCAAATGCTACTTGTGACATGCAAGGTTTGGAATCGAACCCCAGACCTTTATTCCTCACTGAATATTTTACAGCTCGCCGGTAAGCGGGAAGTAGGTGGAACCTGACCAGTAGCAACAGACACATCCAAAGGTATAACGGATGTGGTGTGCCGGGTGCGGATGTATTTTCCGGGCAGTCTTCTGGCTGAAATGAATCCTGGCCAGGAACTCGTGTTCGTAGTCGTAATGCAGTGAACTAAACAGCTCGCCACTATGTAAACACACACGCGGAAATGCGTGCACACACAGGCAGGCACAAGCACTCCTGGCTAGCTTAATTTACAAGCCTGTCGCTGACTTTTTTCTACACCAGGTTAACCAACGTGTAAAAATAACTCCAAGTTACGAGTCGGCGTAATTCACAATCAACTGCCATTGGCTCAGAGTGCCATGGATATTTGTGAAAGTACACAAACTATCATTATTTAGTTTAGTCAGCCTAGTCGCTGGAGTAAAACATGATGCCCGTCCAAAATCGTAGACTACGCATGCGTTTATCTTTTTTTAAGGCCACGTGTTTACTGCAGTTTTGCAATATTTCACCCCTTTCAATTTAGATTTTGTTTAAAAATACTGTGCTGCAACGGTAAAGCTCGCTCCATAAACTCCTGGCCACCTTTGTCTCCCTCAGTGTTGTCACACTACACCAGACGTTCATTCTTAGGAGAGGCCCATACAAGGTACACACATTAAGCCTCACACAAACACAACGATCTCCCTTTAGCCTGAACAGACTTTTGGCGAGAGTGCTGTTAGTGATCACCAATGAATCCCAGCAAGGTACACGAGGGGGTGGGTGGCCAGCATCACGGCCGACCACCTAAGTCTCCCGAGCGGTGATGTTTATACACTGCACCAGGTACTCCTTTGAGGCTGAGTCGACCTATGGGAGGCCCACGACCGGTTCAGATAACCATCACCGGTGTTGGCCGTGAGCAGGAATTGAACTCGGGTCGCTGGGTTCGTAGTGCAGCGTGCTAACCAATGTGCCACCGCTCCTCATAAGACTTACACACACACAACGTTTTTATACACACACACACATAAGTTACCAAGGGGGTGGAGATACCAAAAATAAACCTGCCACTGTACTTGCGAACAGCAATAAGCTGCTAACGTACACAGCACAGAGATAATACGAGAATTGTGAAATATAAATTAAGTCGTGTATGTAACTGTAACACTGTTTACAGGATATATCTTTATATTAGCTCAAAATTATATACACACTGCGATTGTTGGAACACTGTGTTACTCCACTCCTACAGTCGGCCCTTGTGGCTTCCTCTTTGAACAATAATACCACCACCCTAACGATATCAAAGTCACCACCACCACCACCATCAGCTCTGATCTAGCCACCAACTGGATGGAGGCCACCCCAACGCCGCTGCGATCTCACACCTCCTTGGAATGCGATGATCCATCTACTTGGGCAAATTCCCTTCCTGTGGCTGCCACTCCTTCAACAGTCTCTTCCATCAGGCATCATCTCTCTTAGCTGTGTCCTGACCAAGAGCACTCACTTTTCGTGACAAGTCAGTATGACGTTCATAACTTGTGAACGTTCCCTGATCCACGTATTCCCCTTTCTCTGTCTCTCAGTGCGATCCTTAGCATGCACATCAAAAGTAAAACAGCCACATTTTGTGGCTGAGAAACTTTATTCAATCAAAACCACAATCTCTGTATTCCCCGGACTAAACTCCCTTCGACAGCAGAGAGACAGCAGTGCAGGGAAAATGTTTGTGAAAGAATTTAAAACAGAGTAAGAGTGGAAACGTTATTTGGTACACCGCAAGGCACAAAAACAGAGATAAGAATGCTAAAGACAAAGTTTATAGCCATAAAAAAACATCAGAGAAATTCTTTCCAAAAGCAAAAACATGAGCAACATTGATCTAAAGCAGAACATCACCTTGAGCGCAAATTTAACCCTTCTCTCCATGCCTCCAACGTTCCGAGGAGTTAGCCGCAGTTAATTTACGAAACCGTAGAGAGCGGTGAGAAACACAACTCCGGGGACACGGAAGCTCGACAATTCGCAACGAAAGTAACTTCACGCCTGTGATAACCTCACGTCTTTCAAGCACAAAACACACACACGCACACACAACAGAAGTAAAGTGCAGAGAAGCTGAGCGGTAAGAATAAGAATACTCTGCACAGGGAGAGGCGAGCGGGCGGCTGTTTGTGCGCTGAACTTCCTTTTGCGCACAACCGCGCGTAGCCGACCGCGCTAATCGGCAGCGTGTGCGCTCGCTCGTCCATTCCCCGTTCCCCGAGAGACGGGTCTCCTCGGCCTCTCGTGCAAAACATTTCCCCGCAACGGGCAGAGAGCGGGAGCTCGCGGCTACTCACGGTGATGGAGGCATAATCGTTCTCGGCGCCTCCGAGACAGGCTCTCCACATCGGCGCAGCTCGACGCAGTCGCGCTATTGTAGTAGCCCGACCGCGAGTCCTTATTTTAGTCCGCCTCCTCGCAACTTGACACCCCTCTGTGACGGCGATAGCCTCTCCGCAACAACGGCGGCGGGCCGGGGAAGGACGCCCAAAAGGAAATATGCCCCCCCCCCCCCCCCCCCCGGTTATTTATTTAATTTACTTTCCAAGCCTCGCACAGCGGCGGAGAGCGCCGTTTTGTGCCCGATCGCAGTTGTGCACAGGACGGCGGAAGCCGGGAAAGGAGCGGGGAGCGCGCGTGCGCTTCACTGCGGAGCCGCTATGTAAACAGCCATTTCCTTGTACTGCCTCAATGCAGTGGTTGGGCGGGATTCGAGCCAAGGAATATATCATCATCGTCATCAGGAAGGCTTTAGAGCAAGCCATGGGAAAAAAACGTCCGTCTGGGATACACGGCTCGAGTTACAGCGAAATGACGCCCAGAGAGTGTGTGCTGGGGGGAAAAAGACGTCAAAAAAAACAGCAGTGGGTTTTCACAAACGGTATTAGATGTGTATCTGCTTCAAGAAAAGTCAATTCGACTTTTTGTTTGAATGAGCATCGAAACGGTCGCTCATCACCCGTTTACAGCTCTGAGCCAGTGGTGAAAATTCCATGTTCCTATGGCAGGGGAGAGTCCGTCCTAAGGTCAGCCACTGTTGACTTCCACACGAAAATTGTGAGAACGTGAGTTCAGAGTATTTGGCTGCTATACATTTCCACGTGATAAGCCACTTCATTGGGCTATCATTTATGGCCAGGTCACTTCTGAAAAAGAGATAAAAGCTCAATGGGCTTTACCATTTAAAATAAAAAATAGTTTTGTACTCATTCTATCGAACCTGGAGGAACGGTGGGCTGAGTTTAACCCCAAACCAGTCACAATCTTCCAACTATGAGCAGCTCACTCAATCACTGAGAGCCCCCTGGCCGGTTATTATATATTCGCTCGAATAAAAACGAGGCAGTTCTAATTTTGCAAAACGTCAAAAACACATGATGTCACGTGGAATTGTCTTACACAGACACAAAAAACCCCCACAGATACTAAACCAGCTGCGAGGAGAACTAGAGTTAAACGCATTCGATAAAAAATGTACACTTTGCAAAAAAGGAGTCAAACTGGTTAAAACGTGAACGCAGCACCCGCTGTAATTGTGAGGCCACATCTGGTTAAAATTAAGTGCGGACGTACGTGCGCGCACACACGCACACACACGCACAACACACGCACACACACGGCGTTTCATGAAACAAAGGGAACCGTGTGTACCAATTGCACAAAATGCCAACACCAGCAGGAACACCTTTGGGGATAAACTGCGTTTTTAATGACAAGGCTGCCAGGCCAAGCTTCATGAAGGCCCAACCAAAACGCACTTAATGCAATGATTGTTCTCAAATCTGGAGTTCACCTGGGTGGCACAAAAGGCAGCTGACAGCAACACCAAAAAGGGGCAACCAATACAGTCCAATCTTTTGAGCGAGTTATTCTCGGGGCATTTTTTGCGCGTTCAAATCTGTGTGGAGTCACGCATAGAAAAGATGGAGAGGTGCGTGCTCGGATCTAAAGGCTGACAATCAGCAAAGGGGGAACCACGTGGGTTGGAGAACGAGCAGCAAGTTAAAGACATCGTGTTGACGGTTAAGTAAGCCGAGTGGTTCTCGGGCGGCACGCGCCGCAACAACGGACGGCGGCCGGTGGTCGAGACGAGTGTTGCGGTGGCAGGCAAAGGAGGGGACACGCGTCACAGAGGACGTCCGATAACGGAGGCAGAGCCATGGAATCAGCTTGTGCTGCAGGAGCTGGCGAGGCAGTTGCATTGTGACATCACTGCGAGATGGCGAACGGTTTTGCAGACACCTTCATCCAGCGGTGGAGAGAATGTCGCTCAGGATGATGAAAATCGGTCGGCAGGAGGGTGTGATGTGTTACTCAACAGATCTGCGTACGGTTTTTCCGAGATTGTTGGCGCATAGTAACAAAAGGAGGCTGTATCGGCCGACTGGATAGCCGAGCGATGAGAGCGATTTCCACTCGAGGAAGCAGATCCCACGGGGTCCCCCCAGTGGCTGAAATCCTTCCTCTGGCAAGTAACGATGTGGGGCACGTATGTGGAGAGCGAGAGTACCGTCGTGATGGTTTTAAAGGCTTCTCGGAGTTTATGGGAGTCTGGCAGCAGAGTTAAGGGGCCTAGTGGGCTACCGTTGAGGCCTTGAGGGATGTGAACATGAAACAGCCTTTGTTGCCTTATACTGCGGGGCCTTCGAGTAGCTTGAGCTTGCGCGCCGTGAACACACACTGCAAAATGTGGAAATGATGTTACTCTGGTGAGCTGTCCTGGAAAAATAAACATCCAGCCTCAATGGAGTCCTGATCATCATAACCACCACCATCACCACCATCATCATCATCATCCGCCATGGTTTATCCACTGCTGGATGAATGACGGACTACCCCAAGCCGCCATCATCGTTCACGGTCACACAATGCGACAACCGATGCAGCTCTTGCACAAACTCATCGCGCGATCTCCACAGTGGCCGTCCTCTCGGGCGCGCTCCCTCCTTCGGCTGCCACTCCGTCGTCAATCTCGACCGTCGGACATCGTCCCTTCGAGCGACGTGCACTGCCCAAAACCCACGAGCTCTTCTCGACAGGCAATACGATGCCCCTAATTTCCATTTGTCCTATGACCATGAGGCATAGTCAGCTGAGGGACCGTTGCGTCAAACGTGCGACCTCTTGCCGACAGCGTTTGCATAGACTCCTCTTGCTGCCATGCACTGTTTGTCTTCAAATGATTTGTTGTATCCACGGAACACGGGGGGAGGGGCCACCACGGGGGTGATGCCATTCCTTTGAGAGGAATCGCGGTCCTCACTTCGAATGCCGACCGCCAACTGGAGTGAGCGCAGTTTGTTGGAGTGTGCGCATCAATACGGGGCGACGTGTCACGACGAGGCGACAGCCGTCTTTCTCCTCTAGAGCTAAGCCCTGGATCGCTAGGAGACCGGTCGCAGATGCAACGGTGACGTTTCCGACGAAGTCGAACCATCGAATGCCAAGAGGGCGTCTTTGGCCTCGCGTGTGGAAGGACGGCAGCCGATCAAAATCAGCTTGACACAATGTCCAGGCCTCTGCACAGGACGACAAAACTGGCGAAACAAAGAGGCTATCTACGTATCTATCAAAGTGCGAATGAGGAAAAAAATAAAAATAAACGTATCCTTGCTACGTGAGGGGAAGATGGAGGGGTAACGCTTCACTTTTATGGCTGTTTAGAAGGCCGATGCAGGACATCTTAAGTCGTAGTAACTGCTTGGGAGTTACGGAGGCTGTCCTGTGACGACTGTCTGCTAGATCCTGGAGATAAACATGTACTGGATAGACGACAATAAACTCCACACCTTCGTCAATAACGCTGTGGTCGTAAAAGGAAAAATATATAATCGGAGACGCTTCGAGCCAGAAAGACAAAGTGAATCACCACGCTGTAAAGCACACACTCCAACTCCAATCCACGTATTCACTCTATCTCTCTCTCTCTATATATACGTGCTCTCTATGAAGAAGGGGCATTCTTAGAAACGTTGCTTATTATATACTTCTCTTATTAAGGCCACAGTGTTGTTGATGACTGTGTTGAGTTTTGTGTTGTTACATGTGCTTGTGCGCCACTGCAAACGCAGTATCTCCAATACTTTGCTTTACAAGATAGGCCACTGCACGATGGTATCATGGCCCAGAGATGCCCATTGATAAATTAGGCCACAAATAAGGGGTCTGGCCGTATAGAAAATAAATAACACATCATTGTTCCTTTGCACCGATGAAGGCCCCTTTGATTTCCTTCTTTTTTTGTTCTAAACTACTGGAACACAGCGAGCATTGCTAACTCGAGTTGCAACGAAAGAGAAGCAGAGGCAGACGAGTAATGAGACGGACCAACAGTGGTAAAAAGTGACGTTGACCGAAAGGCCGCGAAGGGTGGCTGCAGCAACAAAGCTGGTAGGGGAGAGACAAAGGTGGAGGTGGTTTATAAAGCCCCATTGTCACCCTCGAGCCAATGGAAAGGAAGAGAAGACTGTAACACGATTAAGAGATATACATAACACACAATCATTCCTTCCACCCACGCCTGCCACTTTGTAACCCTCATAATATTTCCAAACAAGGCTGTACTGACGAGCTCAACGTCAAAGTATTTCGTGTAGGTAAAAAAACCTCACCACATGCATCGTTAATAACTACAATCAATTATAATAGCCACATATAACAAGCTAATGTTTCAGGTAATGGGCCTTCTCAAGGGCCCTTGATATTTCTTTCTTACGTACAAAACTACTGATGACTGTGCGGCCGAAAGCTACGATACATCAGTACATACAATAACAGAAGACGTATTTGCCACATAAACAATTGAGTAAGTTATAAATTTGAAGGGAAATTTAAGGTGGGCATAGTGGGACACATACATGTAATAGAGTTTTTTTTGGGTTAGATCGCCTAAATATAAATGTGTCGTTCAACCTGCCACCACCCGACACAGCCAATTAGTAAGGTTTGTCACGTAAGCAGAGCATGCCAATTCATTACTAGTACAGCACACCGGTGTGTTGGAGAACAGATCCACAACATTTACAATCTGAGTACGACGTTTCGCCAGTAATTACAACTATTTACGCGATATAACCCAACGGAAAAAAAACCTATACAGTATTATGGATAATATTGGTCGCGAAAGCCTTTGTGTTAAACTGATAGTGGGACACGTCTGCAATCCATCGCCTCGGAGGAGAGGGTTTTCGGACCGTGCAGAGATTCGTTAAACTTCCAAGGCCAGCTGGGTTTGTGAGGGGGCCAGGATACGACAGCACAGAAAGCGGATTGAATCCATCGGTACGGAGCTCCGAGTGTCATCCTCTCGTAGGTGCGGGTTTTCTCCAGGAAATCTGGTTTCCTCCCACTTGCGAAGTGCTCGCACGTGGAATTAAAAACGAGTCTTACGAATCAGAATCAGAGTATTTATTTATACTGGAGGAATCCAATGAGCTTTCGAGCTCTTTTTCACAGATGTTCAGTAGTTTCACAGACGTCCCAGTAATTTCGCAGATTCGGGGAGGCTTGAATCGACGTTGTTTACGAGCAAATACAATGCAAATAAACGTGCCAATGAATTCCCTTGCATCTAACAAGCTGACAGTGAGACGCACGAAACGGCAACCGTCTCTGGAATACGTTCAGACGCTCCGCCTAATTAGACAACCACACGAACACGTGAAGCGCAAGCAACGCAAGATACCCAAAACGTTGTCACGTCGGAATGTTTGCTGCGGAATCAAGCATACATGTGCCTCGAGATGAAATGAAAGACAGAGAACGAACCTGCAAGTCTACACTCACCAAACTGGCATCGCGTTTTGGGGAAACGGACTTGTACAGCTCAGGAGAGCCTGAAAACACACACGCGGGGAAAAGACAAAAAATCACACCGGTGAACGCATCGCAGCAGCGGCACACTTTGCTTCAAATCCAACACAAGACAAAGATTCTAGATTTAAAGCTTTCGTGACTGCTAGGATCCATACTCTTTGGTTCTATTGGGTAAAGTCAGCGCTGTCCTCCAGACAGTCTCGTCCCTTCACCTGATGAAGGCCGCTTGTGTTGTGGCCGAAACGTCGTGATTTTTGTTATTTTATTTTTTACCTACGTGACTTTACCCAATAGAACCAAAGAGAAAAGACAAATATTCCCCCCCCCCCCCCTCCGTACAGCCTCAACAGACTGTCGGGGAAAGGGCTGTTAGCGAGGCCAGCAAGATACACCAGGGGTTGGGTGGCCAGTGTCGACCTTTTGGAGGGCAGGACCGGTTCATGAAAATTGTCACTGGTGTTGGCCCCGTTAACGTGAACCGAACTCGGGTCGACGGGTTCGTAGCCCGGCCCGCTAACCGCTGCACGACCGCTACCAAGACACACGCAAACACACGCAGGGTAGTGGCGTGATGCGAAACGTCATGACTGCAGCGTTGGCTTTTGCATCCATAAATTTAAAAAAACTAAGATCAGCCAAAAGGGGGGAGGAGGAAAAAAAATAAGAAACAAAGCCAGTTTAAGCAAGCGCCCTGGAGCCGAGTTTTCTGGCAGCGGAGGAACATGTGACCCCCCACAGTGCCGTCATGTGCAGTTCAACTCAAATGCTTGTACAGTGAAGCTCCTCTTATCCGTGTTGATGTGGGAAAGGTTCCTATTATCCGTGCTTATCCGCGTTAATCATTTATACTATCAAGCAGGCGTATGCGGATAATAGAATGACTACGCCACAACTTTCTGGTCACCCACTTTTTTCTTTGATCCGTGAAAAGCTGCGGATGAAAGGACGGCTGGGAGACCACTTCCTGTGACACCTCACCCACTAATTAGCACCGATAGCAGGAGGAATTGTTGCACAGCTTTTGGGGCACGCCTCATATTATCTTATCCCGCACCTCCGATTAGCAAGGTTGGCCAAGTACGGTGCGAGAGAGGTTCAACATACATACATCCGCTGATATACGCGGGTAAGAGTACAGAAAAACAGGACAGCTGGCAAAACCTAGTAGCAAGGCATAGCACAAGTAAAATAAACTAAACTTTTTTTATTTCACCAAGGCCCACTAAGCTATGGAGCTCTCTTTCAGAAGTGACCTGACCACAAATGATATTTCAACGAAGTGGCTTATCACGTGGAAATTTATCGCAGAAAAATACTCTAAACGCATGATGTTGACCCGGAGAAAAACCCACGTGACCACGGGTAGTCTTGCAATGCAACGATCCATATGGCTCCTGCCCAAAAAAATGATTTTTCATTGACCTGAGAATTGAGAAAAGTGAAAACGGTTCTCTCTTGTGTCTTCACGAGCTGAAAAATCGCATCTTTACATGGAAACAGCCCGCATAACCCTCCGTTGTTGTGGGTGACCAGAAAGTTGTACAGTAGGCATCAGGGTCGGGATCGAAACCCACGACATCCTGCATACCAGGCGAGGGAGTTAACATCTCGCCCACCGTGGCACCCCTGCTTGAGCGAGGGGCAAGCCGGCGCAGCAGCAGAGGAGGAGGAGGAGGAGGAGGAGGCGGTAATCTGACCTGTCGCAGGCCTCTGCGGGGCGATTCTTGCTACGGCGGGAGACCCGGGGGCGCGTTTCTCGGTGCCACAGCCCGCCGGCTCGGCGCACTTGGCGGTCGGCTTGGGCGCCGGCGTCGGCTTGGGGCTCCCCTCCTTGGCGGGCGGTGGCTCCTTGCCCGGTGAGGCCTGGCGCCCGGGCAGGTTGCTGACTTCCATCATGGTGCTGATGATCTCCACCGGGTGGAAGGTGGTCTTGCGGCGGGTGGCCGGCTCCTCCGGGACCTTCTGGAGGCACGAGGCCGGCGCCCAGCCCTGCCGGCCCTGGTGTCTGCTCGCGAGAGTTTGGGTGGCGCCAGGTCAGTCGGTCCGTGTGCTCGATGGCTCAGAGCAAGGAGGGGGGTCGGGAAAACCCGCGGCTCCCGAGCCATCTCGTATTCACGGAGCGTTGGGGCTCTTGAAATATTTGAGTTTCTTACCGAATACGAAAAAAATGGCTCTTTTCGTTGTTTCGGTTGCTGCCCAAGGGTGGGGGGGGGACCAATGGCGTTCCTTCACGTGGGCCGAATAGGGATTTCAAACACCGTGCCTTTGGTGGTCCACGCATTAACGCACACCTACGCACTGCGCAATAACAATGTACGTGAAAAATAATTATGGCTATACCTGCACTGCACTGTTATGCTCTGACCAGCGTGGTGAAGTATAATTAAACAACCCCACTGACTGGCAAGGCAATGGGGAGGCCTTCATCCCTTCAGCCAGCAGTGGATTTTAAAAGGGCTGCACATTATTTGTGTTATAAATTGAAATCCAAACTGAGCTGATCGTCAATAGCACGGTCCACAAAAGACAAAGATCTAAACAAACTGTTGGGACAAGCGCTGTTCGCGAGCACCTATGAAGGCTGGAATGGCACACGAGGGGGTGGGTGGCCAGTACCACACCCGTACACATTTGTCTCCCGAGTGGCGATGTTTACACACCTTAACAGGTATTCATTTGAGGTTACGTCAACCTAGGGGAGGCCCAGGACCGGTTCAAATATTCACCACTGTTGCTGGTCGTGAGCGGGAATCGAACTCAGGTCGCCGGGGTTGGTAGCGCAGTGCGCTAACCACCGCACGACCGCTTGCCGCTGCACACACGTGCACGCACGCACAGACACAGGCGGTGGCTTCACGTCCTCACCTGACGAGCCACCAGCCCTCGGTGTCCTGCTGGAGGACGTCTAGGGTGGCTCCCTTCTCAAAGCTGATCTCATCCTTGTCCTGCGCCGTGTACGACTGCACTGCCAGGCACCGCTCTTCTGCGCGAGTGAACAATCGGAGGAGACGCCAGTGTTAGGGTTGACGAGCCATGCGATGTATCGCAGAAGGGCAATCGTTTCCCTAACCCTCGCTAAAGCTGCCGAAGTGAACGATTTGGGGCTTTTGGCTTTCCATCGGAAGTGATTTACAAACAAAAAAATAACGGCCATCATTGTAACAATTGTCTTGAATATTTCTTTAAAAATTCACGCCCATAAATCCGAATAACGGTATCGTACAAGATATTTAATTATTTGGTTGGAAAACATTTCCGATGTTTTATTATATTCTTCTACCATTCGCCAAATGTCACACGAGCGGGGAACCTAGCCAAGACAAAGGAGAAAAAAAAACCCCGGAATTGAATATCCGGGCCTTATTTTATCGCCAGTAACTTTGCGTCCAAAGGCAGGCGACAGGAAAAGAATTGCGCATGCAGGAAATTCAATGAGGCCTAAACTACAAAAAAACAAAACACTGCATCCTTACCCACGACTTGACAAAACACCACTTAAACAGGGGTGTCACAGCCTTTGTAATCCCTTACGTGCAGTAACTGTGTCTGCGTAGCATTGTTTACTTTATACACCGAGGGGGTCGAGGAAATAAAAGGCTTGACCCCTTTATCAACAACGGAGGGTTATGCGATTCGTGCGCCAGCACTGCGCGTGCGATCGCAAAATGCTTCTAGATATTTGCACACGTTGCAATGGGTTAATCTGACCGCTGCAGCCACTGGAGGCCGCTACGCTAGCCACCATATTGCAGCGAAAACAAGAGCCGTCTCTCGAATTGAATCGTGACAATTCATCCACTCGCCGGGCGGGGTGGGGGGCGACGGGGGGGTGGGGGTGGTGAATCGCTCCACAGCACGAGTGAGTACTACAGAAGCCAATGGACGATGAAAAAAAAGACTCAAACATCAGAGTTTTGATCAGCACCAGGGGCCCAATTGCAGGGCTTTGATCATGGCTCACTGGGCTTCAGTCGGCTACACCTCAATGCACAAGCGCCCTCGTCGTGAACACGCACACACAAGGCAAGCCGGCGTCAAAGAACATTTGTTCCACCCCTGAATGTTCACTTCCCCAGGAACTTATTCATGAAATCGCTGTTTAGTTCGCCTTCGTGTATGTGTATATATTGAAAGTCTTTCCCACCATACGTAGAGAACCGCACTAATTGGAGGTGCGGGGGAAGGACAACAAACTAAACACAAAAAAAGCAGTTCTAAAGAAATGACTTTTCAATTATATTTAAAAGTGCATAGCTCCAGTGGCTTCCTGGAGCCATACACTTCTTCACACCAGCTGTTTGGTCCTCACTATGTTTGAGCCAATTTAGCATCTCACCCAAACCCTAATTTGGTGATAAAAAATATATAGTAATAAATGTTGACTGGGGCGGAACGAAGATTTGTCCTGGGAAGAACAATTATTGTGCGGGAACCAAGATTCCTTCATCATCATTGTCATCACCACAATCCATGGGCAGACAGCCCGTAGGTGTCCACCGCACATTTCGTGATTTGTTTCCACTTTTCTCTGTCTTGTGCCAATATTCTCAAGCAGTGCGCACATCTTTCTGGCACCAACCTCTTATGCCGTCGTCGAGCCATTCTCTGCGACGTCTTCCTCCTCTCTTTCCGGTTCCTTACATTTTTACGAACAACAACAACAACTCACTTTTGCTTTTCCTACCCTTGTCCATCCGTACATGTGTGTCAAAAAAGTGCCAGTTTCCTTCTCATCCCTGCCTGCATCATCAGGTTGCCTTCTTCCACGCGCAACTTTTTTCTTACTTCTACGTTGGTCACTCTTTTGGGTCCAGTTCGGACGCAGCATCCTCCTATAGCGATACATTTCGAATGCCAAAATCTTATCTCTGTTAGGGGCTTGCCCATCAAAATTCCTGCACACGGGCTCAATTACAGGGGGGTGGGGGTGGAAGAATCAGACCGCCAGCGCGAGAAGTTTGATAAGAAGCATGCAAATCGACGGGGGGGGGGGGGGGGAATAGCAGGGGGCGCACCTCTGCTCTGGTGCCGGTTCGTGAAGCCCCCTAGGGTCCAGCGCCGATCCAGCCTCTTCAAGTGCGGCTTTCGCCGCTTAGCCACTGACCACGAGCGAGGAGGTGTTGGGGATCGAGGAAGAGACAAGGAGGGGTCGTGGATGGGTGGGGGAGGCAAGAGGGGTGGGGGCAGACCAGTGATGTGTGGTGGGAGGGGAAGGCGTGTGGGTGAGAGGAGAAGGAACATCCACGAGGTTGGGTGAGGAACGGGAAAAAGACAAGGACGGCCTGCTGGGCAGATTCAATCAATGCGTGGTGGGGGGGGGGGTGTGCAGGGGCTTTGTAATCAAGCATCAGCGACGTGAATAATTAGGTGAGCAACATTCACAGTGAGGCACAATTTGATGTGTGAAGGTTGATCAGAGCAAACAACACAATGTAGGCAGGCAACTGCCCGATCACATCTTCTTCTTCTTCGTTCACATTCACGTGGTCAAGCCAGGTAACCGCATCACCAGCAGCGGAGTGTATCGCCGTGATGTCTCCTTCGTGTTTGTGGATCGGGCGTTGCGTCGTTATAGGTTGTACGCTCTGTTCTGGATGACCACAGTCGCACACTGGAGAGGTTTGAAGTTTCCATTTGTGCATCAGCTATCCGCATCAGCTGCCATGGTTCGTATGGATGCAGTTTATGGTGGACCGCGAGTTTCGTGGAAGATCAAACCCAGGGATCTCCTGCTTTGGGTCTTTCACGAGGTGTTTGTTGCGAGTTATTTTGAACTCCATTCAGCTCTCCAAGCTTCATCGGGGTTGAACTGCCTGATGATTGTTGTTGTGACGGCTGTAGCGGCGAAACGCCTGCGCCCGATTGTTAAAAGTTGCGGATCGCCCTCCGACAATAACACGACCGCAGTGGTGCTGCTGAAGCAGTCACAGATTGGCCACTTTTTTTCACGTGACAACTATCATCAATTGGCTGTGTTGGGCGGAGGAGTGTTCTACGACACACATTTTGCTCCAGCGATTTGACCTAAAAATGTATTATGAATCATAATATTGGTCGAGAAAGCCTTGCGTGCCATAAAAACAAACCACTCACACTTACAGTGAGGGAAAAAAGTATTTGATCCCCTGCTGATTTTGTACGTTTGTCCACTGACAAAGAAATGATCAGTCTATAATTTTTATGGTAGGTTTATTTGAACAGTGAGAGACAGAATAACAACAACAAAATCCAGAAAAACGCACGTCAAAATGTTATAAATTGATTTGCATTTTAATGAGGGAAATAAATATTTGACCCCCTCTCAATCAGAAAGATTTCTGGCTCCCAGGTGTCTGTTATACAGGTAACGAGCTGAGATTAGGAGCACACTCTTAAAGGGAGTGCTCCTAATCTCAGCTTGTTACTTGTTTAAAAGACACCTGTCCACAGAAGCAATCAATCAATCAGATTCCAAACTCTCCACCGTGGCCAAGACCAAAGAGCTCTCCAAGGATGTCAGGGACAAGATTGTAGACCTACACAAGGCTGGAATGGGCTACAAGACCATTGCCAAGCAGCTTGGTGAGAAGGTGACAACAGTTGGTGCGATTATTCGCAAATGGAAGAAACACAAAAGAACTGTCAATCTCCCTCGGCCTGGGGCTCCATGCAAGATCTCACCTCGTGGAGTTGCAATGATCATGAGAACGGTGAGGAATCAGGCCAGAACTACATGGGAGGATCTTGTTAATGATCTCAAGGCAGCTGGGACCATAGTCACCAAGAAAACAATTGGTAACACACTACGCCGTGAAGGACTGAAATCCTGCAGCACCCGCAAGGTCCCCCTGCTCAAGAAAGCACATATACATGCCCGTCTGAAGTTTGCTAATGAACATCTGAATGATTCAGAGGACAACTGGGTGAAAGTGTTGTGGTCAGATGAGACCATAATGGAGCTCTTTGGCATCAACTCAACTTGCCGTGTTTGGAGGAGGAATGCTGCCTATGACCCCAAGAACACCATCCCCACCGTCAAACATGGAGATGGAAACATTATGCTTTGGGGCTGTTTTTCTGCTAAGGGGACAGCACAACTTCACCGCATCAAAGGGACGATGGACGGGGCCATGTACCATCAAATCTTGGGTGAGAAGCTCCTTCCCTCAGACAGGACATTGAAAATGGGTCGTGGATGGGTATTCCAGCATGACAATGACCCAAAACACGGCCAAGGCAACAAAGGAGTGGCTCAAGAAGAAGCACATTAAGGTCCTGGAGTGGCCTAGCTAGTCTCCAGACCTTAATCCCATATAAAATCTGTGGAGGGAGCTGAAGGTTCGAGTTGCCAAACGTCAGCCTCGAAACCTTAATGACTTGGAGAAGATCTGCAAAGAGGAGTGGGACAAAATCCCTCCTGAGATGTGTGCAAACCTGGTGGCCAACTACAAGAAACGTCTGACCTCTGTGATTGCCAACAAGGGTTTTGCCACCAAGTACTAAGTCATATTTTGCAGAGGGGTCAAATACTTATTTCCCTCATTAAAATGCAAATCAATTTATAACATTTTTGACATGCGTTTTTCTGGATTTTTTGTTGTTATTCTGTCTCTCACTGTTCAAATAAACCTACCATTAAAATTATAGACTGATCATTTCTTTGTCAGTGGGCAAACGTACAAAATCAGAAGGGGATCAAATACTTTTTTCCTCACTGTAATGTCATTAGTTTTGCGCCAACACAGCGCAGAATTGTCAGGATAAAATATAATGCAAAAAAATCAGTTGTTTATGCTCTCATTGTAAAGGTTATCTGTATTCACATGTGCACACATATGTGTTATCATGTGCACATCTTTGTGAGTGACTGGCTCAAAATGTGTAATTGTTCAAGCGTAACCACGATTTGAGATTATCGAAAAACAACTGGCCAAGACAAAAAAAACTATACAAACTGAAAACATAATCAATGACTTACAGTTAGAAATAATAATATTATGAAGTTAAACGTTAAATTTGTTACATAATCTAAAATACTAAATGGCATTTTTCAAAGAGAAGTTTACATTTTATGAATATTCAACCTGGTGATCGCAGGTGTAGAAAACATAATGATCAAGTTCACCTTCATTGTCGTGTTATACATTCAACCCCCCATATACTAACTAAGTGACATTATATACCACTGAATGGAATGGTGGTGCAATTATTTTTGCACTACACCATGAACCCTGGGAACCGAGTCACATTCTCAGCTACGGCTAACACAGAGGTCTTCACCCAGCACTGAACTGAAAACAAAGGGTCACGAATTAACACCACGAAATTAAAAAATAAAACACCGCATCTGCTTCTGCTTCTGCCGAGACCGAACTTGCCACGCCCGTGGGCATCACGTGCCGCGGCTGGATTTGTAAAGATCCCGCTCAAGTGAAGCTCACCTTCTCCCGTCTTGCTCCCTCCGTTGGCGACGATCTCATCCTGGGTCTCCTTCTGCGGCTCGAGAAAGGAAGCCGGTACCCAGCCCTGCTCGTCGGAGCTGCTCACGAACCACCAGCCTGTACCCCAAGCAACAGACCAAATCACACGCCAGCCACGACCATCCGTCAGAAAACGGCACACCAATGCTCCACCAGCCAACAGGAACGTGCCCAAAAATGACTCAGGATTGTGAAATTCTTCACGAAAATTCCTTCGCGATTACTACCTATACCGACGGTTGGCAAATGTTGTGTAATCTAACAGATTTATTTTTTTAACAATTCACTAAAAGTCTACAAAGTACAATTATTTACTCGTGCAGAATTACAGTATTTATTCGAGCTGAGTGAAAAAAAAAGAGATTTTTTTAAAACTTGTTTTAAGGGCACAGCACTTCCCCCACACACCCTGCTGCTCTAGAAATGTTAGGTGGCAGTCAAACCGACATGTTGAAGTCTCAGAGCTGGAATTCTGACAAATACGTCAAACACCAAATGTAAATTGTCTTTATTTTTCGATTTAAAGCTTTCGTGACTGCAAGGATTCATCCTCTTTGGTTCTTTCGGTAAAGTCACGTAGAATGAGAATAAAATAATAAAATAACACAAACGTCGCGAGAATTTTATTGTGTTATTTTATTTTATTATTTTATTCTCATTCTACGTGACTTTACCGAAAGAACCAAAGAAGTTGTCTTTATTTGTTGTGAGATGTCGTTGTTGATCATGCCGAGGTTCTCGACTCTCCACACTTGAGAAAACCCATCTTAATCATGGGCAACTGAAAGCCACATTCAAACACAGGATCTCAGCGGTGCCAGATTAGCACTCCGACCCCTTAGCCGCTTGGCCATCTCTGTGTTTTACCCCCAAAAAATCCCACTTAAAATACTACCATTAACCTGATGAAGAACGTGAAAAGGATTGACAGGACATCCCATGCAATGGGATACTCTCCCAGCGTCCAATTCCTCGTGAAATGGCTAAACAAGAACTCTTCCCGCCTGTGCGCACCCATAGATTTGTGTCGGTGACTTACACGCAGCTGACAAGTCACACAAAGGTCCGAAATTACTGTCGTCTGTGTCTGAGTTCAGACCATTCTTCCCAAGCAAATAAGAATTCTTACAATGAACCCAACATTATTTTATGATTGTTTGTACGTGTCGACCATCACTTTTGGCTCAACGTCTACGGCTATCACTTGCCACAAAATCGTAAAGTCGAGATCGTATATTTTGACATTATGTCCCATTATACATACGCAACTTAGATACACATATGCACCGTAAATTTACTTCACAACAATAAAAACATTTTTTTAAAAGTGCACTCAGTACGTACAAAAAAAAACCTCTCCCAATATTTTTCAACAATTCTGAACCGGCACAAATTTTACAATAAAAACAATTAACTTCAGTTTGCTTTGGGATACGTTCTAACGTAAACGCTGAGGGGGGGGGGAGAGGGCATCCCAGGAGAGGGGGCAAAATAAACAAGGCCATGATTAGCCCCCCGACGGAGGAAGTGATGGCGGTCGTCTGTCCTAAGGCAGCCCCCACTTGTGCTCTGCTGGAGTGCGTCATCGCGTCTGGTCGCAGGTCTGCAGCGAGACTCGAGACAAAACACTCCACACCCCTGTCTGACACCTTAGGCCCGAGGAGCAAGATGCAACAAATATTTGGGTCGCGCAGACACGACAGACGCGTGGAACGCACGGACCAGACCGGCTTCTCCCGCCGATAGCAGGGGGCAGTGATTCATGGTCAAAGTGCGGCATAGGTGCTGCCCCCCCAACCCACCACCCGCTCCCCCCTCCGCCGTTCCTGCTGAGCATGGCTAAACATGTCCAGGTTGAGGCTTCCATAAATCACTGCCCCCTTTAATGTGGGAGGGACACGTTGCGCGAGACGGCCACGAATTCTTAAGAGAGAAAACAACATTACGCGAGTCAAACCATGGGTGAGAGCGATTGTGAAGGTCCGTTGAAAAGATGGCTGGCTGCTTTAAGGTTTAAAAACAATTTGCTGCGTATGTGCGTGTGTTGAACTTCTTTGCACACCGTACGTAGCCAGCAAACTAAACGCAAAAATCAGGTCGAAAGGAACTATATGAATGCTGTATGTTTGGTGAACTTCTTTCGCACCATACGTAACCAACCGTGCTAATCAGAGGTGTGGTGTAAATCACGAGGCAGTGAATGACACAAAAACACTGCTATATAACACAACAGTGTTAAGTAAAACAGAAAATAAATATGAAAGTAGGACCTCACCACCACTATTGAACTGTTGTGGAGTGATTAACTCAGCTTGTATGTATAAGCGAGACGGATTATAGCATTGTAGTAGGTGCACGGAGGATGGCAATGGCTGGGCGAGGCATTGATCCAGCAGTGGATGGATCACAGTTGATGACGATGGCGATGATGAGATGGTATACACTAAAAGCACTTACAGTCAGAATCACCAAGCAAACGAATGCACTTTCCCATGTAGAACTGTAACGGAATAGAACACTGCATAACAAAATTTGTTTTTGTTCCTCGGTAGTAAGTATTATTTTCTAATTGCTTACGCCTCAAAAGTACAGAAAATGGCTATTATTATTCCCCACAAACTTTGCTTTTGTGACCAGGACTTTATGTGAAGGAATGACAAAGGCACACCACGTTTTCTCATTGAAAATAGGTACATTTCTAAATATCATTGTCCTGGCCCCAAAGGCAAAGTGTGTTGGGAATAATAATAGCCATTTTCTGTACTTTGAGGCATAATCAATGAGAAAATAACGCTTACTACCCAGGAACAAAATACGTGTTACACCGTGCTATCAACCTGTACGAGGCATATTCAATCCTAGCCCATGATGTGTACACACACACACACGTGCTGCTGTGTATGTGGGAAAACATCCCCCGCCTGCCCCTCCCCAAAACTATTTTGGAATCAAGGAAAAAAAGATGACGCCCAGCCAACGTTTGAGAACGCTCATCAACTGAGGCGACCACAAAACTCTCGCCAGACTGCATGCATCCCTTGAAGCTGGAAGCGTCGTCACATGACCGGCCCTCTCCACAATCCCGGCGCTGTGTGTACGCTACCAACGGGGCCAGCGGCACAGCTAAATGCACTGTTGGGAGCCGTGCGGAGCACAAAGAGCCGCTTCTTGTGTGGTGGAGCAGCAGCAGCAGAGCCTGAACCCCTGCAACTAAAATACTCGATAACAAGCACATTTGTGCCTCGCCGCCGATGCATTTCTGATGCAATTCTGTGCATACTTCAACTGACCGAATCACTCAGAAATGCGGCCAGTCTCATCATTGCTTTACACTTTCTCTGTCTTGCTCTCGTGTGTTTTTTTTGTATCGTTTGTTGTTTGTGCAGCTTGCTGACCCGTCCCTACTGGACGTCTGTGAACAAGAGCTTCATAGCTCATCGGATTCCACCCCATCTATATAAGGACTCTGATTCTGGTCTCGCCAGCGAAGCCGGATTGAGCCTAACAACAGGTGTTATTGGCTGCTGCAGGGTTGATGTATGCAGAATTGGACACTACAGTCATTGATTATTTACAATTTAAGTGCAGCATATTCACAGTAAATGCTGACGATTCTTTGAGGCTAATAGCGTGAACTTTACTGTGAAAATAAGACCCAAAATACGAAGAATACAAACGAAAGGGAACAAATGAGACACCAACAAAATCGATTGTTCCATTTAATCTCAACCCAAGTCGTGGAAATGCTGGAGGGGCATAATGAATGAATACTTTGCCTGACATGCTGTTTTAATAGGATATATGACAACACAATTTACCACTTGGACTTGTGATTTTTCTTTTGTTAATGGATCTCAAAATCTTAAATCATAAGCAAAGCTTGCTCTTAAATACGACTTGTAACGCAACATTAAACGCATGGGATTTAAAAATAATACTCTGGCGCAAGCTGTGAGACTGACGGCAATGTTGTAGTTTTTACTATTATTTAGGGTCGTGCTATCATGGCAATGAGGCCCTCAGGGGTGAAGTGGCCTGCGCTGTATTATTCTGGGATTTTTTTTACGCTTTCCAACGAAGGCGAAGGGCATTAACTCATGAGTTATGTTCACTCGCTCACGCAAAACAAATGCGCGCACTATAACCCTCATCAAGACGATCCAATCTGAACCAAATTAGGGTGTAAAATGTGGCTATTTGGGATTTACCCCAAAGGTAAGCTGGCCAAGTTTAAACAAAAAGGTTTCCCCCCCCCTAACTTGGAAAGGCAAAAACTTGAAGAGGAAAAAACGCGACGACCGTGTGTACAAATATTCAAAAGTGTTTCCCCCCTCGTGAGCTGCCCCTTGGGCGATGTGTTGCTAATTAAATATTTCTGAAGACGAATGCACGTGGGATAGCATCACATCATTCATGCACACGCATGTTGTAAAGCCAACGAAACCAACTAACACACCTGCCAATCGTACTGTAATTTCAAAACCAAACGTTCCCAAACAATAACTAAATCTCACTTCAAAATTCCAATTGGATTATTCAGCAAAACGAGCAGAATTCCTTTACCATTTGTAGCAGGCGTATTTGTTTAAACGCTGCAAGAAGGAATTGCATGGCATTGAATCGCACGATGTGCGGAGGCCCTTATCTGCTAGCGGATTGACAAAGGGCAGTACATACACACGTACAATGAAGACGATGCAATTATAGCTCATCACTACCACAATAGGAATGAAACAATACCATAATGTGCACAATATTTGCAGTGGCAAAACAGCTCTGCTGTGAGTAAAGGATTTATTGCGTATGGTTTTAACTTTTCACCTGTTCTTTAAAGGGAGATGGTTTTAAGTTCTAACAGATGTCTCTTAATGACAGAATCTAGCAGGTGCTTGAGGGTTGTTGATGGTCTCAAATCCGTATGTAAGCTACAACACTCAATGGGGCTGTTGTATAGCAATATATAATTCAGTCGTTTACCAGTTGCCATTTAAAAATCATGTCCTTTTAAAGAATCACGTGAGACACGATGCTAAATAAAAATGTGATGGTTTTAAAGTTGACAAAAATGTTGATAATGC